GAGCTAAACCTGACAAAATCTCCAAAAACCTCCCTTTGGGGATGTCCTCATTTGTAAAACTGGTATAAAAATAAAGTAAACAACGTTTTTTTTAAATTGTAAAAATGCAATGCTTTTTTTAACGGGAAATGTTTCCTGTGAGGGGTAGGTTTAGGTGTAGGGTGATAGAATATACAGTTTGTACAGTATAAAAACCATTATGCCTATGGAATGTCCCCATTTAGATAGCTAAGTAAAAGTGTGTGTGTGTATTAATAGGCATATGCATTCTAGCTTAAGCAAGTTCTATTAAATGCATTCATTTTTCAATCGTCTTTGATGTTTCAGTGACTGAGTTAATTACGAAGTTTAAAATAAGGGTATGATGGTGATAATAGACCAATTTTTGCCATAAAGATAAGAGGCTGAACTCAGGAAAAACATGTCAGATATCGTCAGAAGATTAGCATAAAAGTTTAAAGGTAATAAAAGAGGAGATATTACCAGCAGGACACCATGTGGTTGCGCAGGAAGTTGCTTGTCAGTAGTGGCAGCTGTGACTTTTTGACTTTAGTCTTAAGTGCATGGAGGAAACACTGCAGCAGTAACTCATCCATCTGCTCTGTAATGAGACATGAAAGTCAACATACAGCGAACAGCTACAAAATGGACATGTGACAGGAAGTCGAAGACATTTCACCCTGTGGAGATCTAGAGTCCTCTTCTTTGTTAGTGTCTTCAACCACTTCTTCCTCCTTCAACACCTCATGTTCATCCAGCCTCAGCTCCTGCATGTTCTGACAAGATGTTTCCACTGGAGCTGGATCAGAGCTGTCCTTCACCTCCTGCTCTTCCTCCTCGCATTCCTCTCCCTCCACCTGTGCTGGAGAGTTTGTGACTGGCATAACCGGAGGATGTGACTTGTCACCAAATGCCCTGCGGGAAATTTGAGAAAGATGTCTGTAGAAAGTTAATGTGATGTATAAAGAGGCAGAAATTAAGTCTAAATTAATGTGCCGACAGAATCATGCTGCAATGCAAAGCTCACCACAGCTGATCCATGTATGTGTGTAAAATATTCACTCCTCTCCCCTTCATTCCACTGTTCCTCATCTCAGCACTCGACACAGCTGCTGTGCCAACAGCCACTGGTGCCCTTCAACACCACAAAAACACATAAAAAATTTTTTTAATGCATGTTACCCATGAGAGAAATGTATTTATAAGCATTTTTAATAGTGAAGACTTATACATAGTACTTTCAATTTCAAAACTTTGCCAACTACACAAACTACTACAACATTTTTGGGCAACATAATTGAGCATGTTTACAATCCAAGCTATTTCATAAACCAATTATGCTTAAGCTGATAACGTGCGTGGTCACGTAAATGTGTTCAACTGTTTTGCTGTATCGATTTCATCATGTAAACACCATAAACACATTATTTCAGCTTATTTAAGTGTGCATGTCTGACTACGAGACAGGAAAGCATCCTGTGGATAGAAGAGCATTTAACTAGAGTGACACTGCGAGAGGGAGAAGGAAATGTATTGTACCCAATGACTGTTAGTCGTTATAACAATTATTTCAAAAAGCTGGTTTTTGGTAGTTATTAGCATATGGGTGTGCATGTAAACATGCTCATTGTTTGTTTGTTTTAGTCTAATAAATACATAATCCATTTGAAAAACTTACTACTTAATTTAAAAAAGGTGCAGAAATCAAAAATCCATAAATGACTAATGGAACCATAGGACATTTTTAACCCTGTAGAGTCTGACACATGAAATCATGCTCAGAAAAATCTAACTTCTTTAAATGAGACCTTTAGATAAAATATTAAAAAGCATGTGTTTTTGTTGGATATCATATCTGATACATCAGGCTTATGGCTAATTTAGTATGATATATGAGAATATGGCACTTATACTCCAGAAGGAAAAAAGTTCTCCATTTTATTCAGAGGCCCAAACTAAATAAACGTTCCTCAATAGCTGTACAATATGTGTAATGTATAACGTGTATATGTATTATGATGTATAATATTTAACATGATTAAAAAAATGTAAAACATTTTTTTTAGAAATATCACTAGCAAGTTAAAATCGGTAAAATTTCACAGAAAAAAGACACATGCACCACAACTTGAAAGGGGGCATTTTTTATAATTATTTTATTTGCTAAAAAAGTATAGACTATCGATCAGTTGACAGAAGGCATGTAATAGATTGCATAAAATACATCGTATATAACAGGTTTTTCAGCAAAGTTTTATACATGTTGATCATTTGAAGGCCTAATTTGCATAACAAATATGATACAGTATGCTTTATAAAGTTAAACGTATTTTTTTGGCCTAATTTCATATTAGGCATTTTTGGTCACTTTTGTTTATACAATCGTAGAGAGATAGGAGGGAATAGGTTCAGGACTCAACCTTGCGTTGTCCACATGGGCTCCACAGCTCAACATAATTCAGAGTGTTAGAGACGTCACTGATGCTGATTAGTAAAAACTGCCAACTCCAGTTTACAATTTTTGAAGTTATAACAAAAGTTGCAAATCTTTGTCCAGTTGTGGTATCAGTTTTAGTTTCACATGACTCAAGATGAACCATCTGTAAGCAAGAAACGTGGTGGGCAGCGTTACCTGTTCATCACAAGAGTGACGGCACAGCAGTCTCCTTGCTCTACTTCAGGAAGGCCATCAGCAGCTACCACTACACCCGGCAACATGAGATCTGCAGGGGAGAAATCAGTCAGACGTGTTTTCTGAGACACATAGACGAATACTAACAGGTGCTGACCTGCTCCACCAGTTAACTTCTGCAGGACAGGCGGCCACGTGGCAAATGCTGGAAGCATGGTGGGATACCGCCACAGTGTGTACACTGAGAACAACAGACACAAATGTATTATTCAAATAGACATCATCATCCTTAACAAAAACTGAGAGTTACCTGCAGACTCACCTGATGGAAACAGCCGTTTCTCCAGGTGAAAGAATATGGGATTTTTATGGAGGACATACAGAATGACTCCATCTCCCTTATGTGCGTAAATCTTCACAATATTCAGCTCTTCTTTATTTGGGATCAGCTCATTTAGATCCTCAGCTGACAGAGAAGGGAAGGCAGCAGAGACATCTGATCTCAGTCTCCTCCTGTATGGACAGAAAAAAACCCATGACAAGGCATCAAAATAAAAAAAATTTAAAAGATAAAAAATCATGGGAGAAATCCTGCTTCTAGTCTTATTGAGCTTATCTTTTCTCCTTTAACAACTACACAAATGTATCTTCAGTTTAGAAACTCTCAATATTCTTAGGTATTAACAGATATTTTAACAGGGAAAATTATCATTGGGTTTCACCAAAATGTGAAAGTAAACAACGAGACACAAGAGTAATACAACAATATTATGAAAGGATACGAAATCACATAGAAATATGCCAATACTTCTGTAAGGTACTTTATATGAAGACACAGTAGATGATCTTGAAAGAGTAATACACACACTGTATCTTGTATTGTAATAATATAACAACCACCACACGAGGCACATATTATTCAATATTAATGTTATAGTTTTGTGAAATAATGTGCACGAAGTAGAGTATATAGAATGTACTCAATGTGGAATCAGACTGAATTAGCAAGTACATTTCTTTCATTTCAACTCGTCTTTAACAATTCTAACTGGTTGAATACCTGTCAGATCCCTTGATAACGGTGTTAGATTTCACACGAAACGCTTTTGCAAACATCTCAGTATTCAGGTGAAGTATTTGCAAGAAGCCGCTATAAATAACCGAACGAAGTGCAGTTCTCTAATCTTTCATATTATAAAAACGAGAGTGTCATAGTGTAATTCAATCATCTGCTGTGCTCTGGGCAAAACGCGGGTGCAACGCTGAAACACGTCCGACTGGAAAATACCAGCGTCTGTTGAAGTGACCGCCAGAACGGTACATGTGTAAAATAATATCATTCTGTTAATGAACTGATTTGTTGGTATATTTGTGAACGGAAAAAGTTCATTTTAAAGAGATATTTCACCCAAAAATGAAAACCGTGTCATTATTTGCTCACGTCTTTCCAAAACGATTCTTATAATAGCATAATATAAAGTCGTTAGGTAGAATGAATGGGAATAAGTCACTATTCTGCAATGAAAGTAAACAGTGACTGACCACTATCAAAGCTAACTTACTGACTAACTAAATATGAAGGCTCTATCAGTCACAGAGCAAATGAGTCTAAGTATCTAGCCTAACAATAACAGCATTTCTGGTTGCTTTGGACCTTCATGTGCAATAAAGAACAGTGCAGAGAGTTGCTGTGACTGTGTGAAGATTCCTTTCGTGTAGGTACAGATATTCAAGTCTGCCCTGTTAATTGGATCCTTTAAAATCCTTTAAGCTGGCTGGTCTAAAGAATTGTCTTCGCTGCTGAACGGACAGAGATGAGCACGGTCTACCACCATGCTAGATAATACAGAAAATACAAATGATTCAGTGCATTCCAATGAGCAGCAAGAGAGTCAGCATCAGATTAGCATTGTGCCTCCAGAGTCGGCAGGGAAATCCACACTGAAGATAAAAAAGAAAGTAATAACAGAGGAGTATAAGCTTGCAGGACAAGTGCTCGGGGTAGGCATCAACGGCAAGGTCTGGGAAATATTCCAGAAGAAAAGTGGCAAAAACTATGCCTTAAAGGTACTGATTTTTAAAATCCTTTTTGAGAAAGTATGTTTATTTGCATGCTTCATATCCACACTTTTTTTTATTTTTAAAGCAAATAAAAGGAATGTAAAAAGGGTAATCGTTAATGATGTTTGTGTATGATAAAGTCTTATGATGGTTGGAAAGGTTCTACCAGTTATTCACTGTTCACTCCATTAAAATCACTTCTCACATTCAATATTTATACTACTGTGCATGGTCCCTTTTGAGTCCAGGTTTTCATATCACTAAAAAAGCTTTTTTGTTAAATGGGACCAATCTGGTATTACTGGAAATAGACATTTTTATGCTGTAAAAACTAAATGTTCCTCAGATTCTTATTATGTAAAGGAACTGAGGTGCCTCAAAACCTTTTCCATTATTATAGGGTTACTGGAGCTATTAATGTTTGTTGAGTTCTGGCAGGAACTTATGGGATCCATTAAGCACTTAAGCTATAGACTTTGTAAATTCCTAAGAAAACTGCCTAGACATTCATTCTCCAGGAGCTCTGCCAGTGTGGTAATTTGAGAAACTCCAAAATATAGCCTCAATTAGCTTTTCATTTTTACTCAGATATCCTTCTTGGCACTCTCTATTGTAATTATCTGCCTATTTAATGCCATTGAAACTATCCCACATGACGAATACATAAAACAAGTTGTGAAGAAAAAAAGATGGCCAAAATATATTTTAAATACATGCTAAATATATGGTATAAACAGTTAAGCTCAATTAAATATTTTTTAATTTTTTTAATTTTTTATTTTTCTAAAATATATTTCAAAATGTACTTTAGGGGCAAGAAAATATATTTCCAATCTTACAATAGCTATACATTTAGGGTAAATACAATTGTGGATGGAATAGCCAATGTGAGCCTATAGAGATCAATAGATGGAATAGCCTACTAGAGACTATATTTATAATGATTTAATATTTAATTTAGTTATACATTGTAATATGTATTTATTTTTACATTAATTTGAATTATGTTCCTTGCTGATTTTTCTTCAAATGTGAATGTATTTTCTTGTTTTGAAATATATGGAGAGATTTTGAAATATATAAAAAAAATTCATTTGAAAATATATTTTTTTGCCATATAAGTCAGAACCTGTAACGGGACCGACGAGACGTGAGGCGTGAGGATCAATGTGCAAGCTTTTATTAAGAGACGTGGTTTTAACAGGCATGGGTCAGACAATGGCAAACGGATATATCGAAGGCAAGACAAGAGATAAATCCAGGTAGAAGGCAAAGGTCCAAGCAGGGGAAAACAGAGTCAGAAACAGCAAGCAAAGGGTTAATCCAAGAGACGTGGCGTGAATCAGAGACCAGGAAAACAGACAAGGCAAGACTAAGAAAACTATGAAAACTTAAACAGGCTCGGTAAGGTAGCTATCTGCTAAACAGGGATACACGCAAAACAATACACGAGACGAAAACAGAAAACACGGAATGGCTCAGTAAGGCAGCTAACACTTGGGGAGTGAAAAATGCAGAACAATACTCGGCCGTGAGAGAGAGGAAGTCCATGGCTTAAGTAGAATGTCTGATTGGATTCAGCTGTGTGTGTGATCAGTGCATTCAGCTGTGTGCGTGTAATCAGTGCAATGGTTGATGGGAAATGCAGTCCAGGGTGATGTGTAACAGTCTGTGTGGTGTGAGAGTCAATGTAATGGGAGAATAACCTCTAGTGGCAATCGGCCTGAAGCCCACGGACCGGATTCGTGACAGAACCAGAGTTACCAATATTACTCGTCAGTGTTTGATGCTGGAATTTGAAATCTGCTAAGCAGTAAACACAGGGTGTCCAGTCTGAGAGAAAACAGAAATATTTTACAGATGACTGAGCATTTTGATAATCTAAAGAAACCTTCTCTACTGTAAAGAACCTTTTTGAAATAGAAAGATTCCATGGATGCTAAAGGTTCTCCACAGATGGCAATAAAGAACCTTTATTTTTGAGAGTTTAGGGGGTCAGCGGTCCTGCAACAAATTCAATGGAGGCAAATGAGCAAACATTATAAAGTAAAATAACATTTCATATCCTCTTGTTGAGACAAGTGTTGTTTTATCTTAACATAAAAATGGTATTGCTTACAAATGACATTATAAATGGCTGTCTATAAGGGTTTCATTTGAAGCCTGATGCTCTTGAATGATCATTTTCAGATGTTGCGGGACACCCCTAAGGCTCGACGGGAAGTGGAGCTTCACTGCAGGGCATCGAGCTTCCCATGTATCGTAGGAATCGAAGATGTCTTTGCGAATTACTACCAAGGCAAAAAGTGTTTGCTTCTCATCATGGAGTGGTAGGGCTTGTTAACACAACTACATCAAAATGATAATACCAATATACCACTTATAATAAACCAGAGTGTAGTGCCTTCAATAAGTATTCTGAGAAAGTATTCTTTCAAAGAGCTTCTTAGATTTGTTTTATGTTAAGTTTTATTGTTGGGATATTGTTTTTTATCATTTGAATTATTATACATATACTGTGTTCATCCAAGTCTATGACAAAAAAAAAAACACTTAGAGATTAATGAGTCAAAATGGTTATTTCTGCATCTGTTACTTAAACAGTATGGAGGGGGGAGAACTCTTTCACCACATTAAGGAACGTGGTGATCAAGCTTTCACTGAAAGAGGTACAGATCCTCACATCAAACACACACGCACGCATGCACGCACGCATGCACACACACACACACACACACACACACACGTTCAACTCCACTGATGAGAAAACAGTGAACACACCACAGTTACTAATTCTCTATTTTTTTGTTTTTCCTTCCACATGATGAGTAGAAGCCTTGGAAATAATGAGAAATATAGGAGAAGCTGTGGAATTTCTGCATGGTATTAACATTGCTCACAGAGACCTCAAGGTGAGCTACTGTATAGCCATTATTATGCATCAGCACTATATTCTTTCGTTCAAAAGTTGGGGTCAGCAAGATTTTTTTATCATTATTATTATTTGTATTCAGCAAGAATGCAATAAACTGATCAAAAGTGACTGCAAACAACTTTGCTACAAAATAGTTCTATTTCACATCAGTGCTGATCTTTTGTTTGTTTTTCTATCGATTCCTCAAAGAATAATGAAAACATGATGCACAGATTATTTTTAACATTAATATTAAAAATGAATATTAATATTAAAATAGAAAATATTTATTTTTATTTGCATTTCACAGTATTACTGTTTTTATATCAGGTTTACCCAAATGTTTCTATGCTATGAAACTTTTAACACAACATAGCCACGTAACTCAAAGATCTTTATGAAAAGCAACAGAAAGACAACAAAACACAACAAACATTGCTGAATGGTTAGAGATGGTGTTTAAACTTGGCTTGAAGGTCACTAAGTTGAAGTATAATTTAAGCATAAATTATTACAGCCATACTGTAAGTTTGAAAATGTACTTGCTTTCCTGAGGCCATTTGACCTGTCCTACATGTTATGTAATTGTTGGATCCTGCAGTGGTTTCCAATTTAAAATGTAGCCAATAAGGTTTCTTTGACTTTAATTGAACAAGGCAATTTAATAACTGCATTAAAACTCGCAAATGATCGAACTGTGTTTTACAAGAAGATATGATTTCACTTTCTGTACCTCAATGTGTTACTTGTCATTTCTTTGTATTAGTGAAATTTAGTAGCAATTTCTGGGTGAAAAAGTGCATCTACACCAATTTTTCAGTGTAGATATTTATAGTTAATGACGACTTACTTTTACAACAGGCATCATAAAGCTAAATTGCATATAAACACAAGAATCTTTTCATATTTCATTTTAAATTTTCTCCTAATTGGCAGCCAGAGAATTTATTGTACACTTCAAAGCATCCGGATGCCCAGCTCAAGCTTACAGACTTTGGATTCGCCAAAGAGACCACATCTAACAACTGCTTGACCACCCCGTGCTACACACCTTATTATGTGGGTAAGCAGACAAGTCAGTTTCGAGTTTCATTTGGTATCATAATACAGTGTAGCTAAAACGAATCCTTCTCTTTCAGCCCCAGAGGTGCTTGGTCCAGAGAAATATGATAAGTCATGTGACATGTGGTCATTAGGAGTCATCATGTACATCTTGTGAGTGGGAACAATCTGATGGCTATGAAATATCACGTTATTGCACTTTCATTCAGAACCAATACGTATCCTCTTAGGTTGTGTGGATATCCACCATTCTACTCAAACCACGGCTTACTGCTCTCACCGGGAATGAAAAAACGCATACGGAATGGCCAGTATGAATTTCCAAACCCTGAATGGTCACAAGTGTCGGAGGAAGGTCATTTTATAATATGTAACACTTCTAATGGCATGTCTTGTTCACACATCATTATGTACATTATGTGGCAAGACTTTTTTTTCTTCACTCTACAGCAAAGCAGCTCATTTGCCAGCTACTGAAAACAAATCCTACAGAGAGAATGACCATCACACAATTCATGAACCATTCTTGGATCAGTGTGAGCATTAGCATTTTAAATCTAATCTTTGAATAAATAAACAAAGGTCTTGTGGATCAGGAGTACATTTATGTACATGACAATTGTTTTTGAGAATT